GGCGGCAGGGACCCGGGGCTGCTTGCTGCTCTGGATGTGGGGATAGGCATGCGCGTCGACGGGGTTGCCAGGGCTGACACCCATCTTCCACGACAAGCTCTTATCCGGACAGTGCACCAAAGGCGGGATCGCCGGTGAAGCCGAAGCAGTCGAAAGCCTCATGGGCGATGCCAGCGATGAAGGGATGTGGGGGGCAACGTAGTGGGAAGGAGGCAGGTATAAAAAACGTTCACCGTTCGTACACACGGGCGAGTAAGCCAGGTGCTGCGGTAAGCTGTAGGTGGACTGCTGAGGTAGCAATGCCTTGTACATGTTCAACGAATACTTATTTGGTGAGTCAAGGAAAGGGTATATAGTGGGCGTCGCGCCCTCCATATAGGGGTTTACCCAGGGGAGCCTTAGGTAACTAGCACCATTGACACCGAGGGGACTCTGCTTGTCACCTGCAGTTCGGTCCAAACCCAGCGTCTCCCCCGTCGGGACAGAGTTTTTTTGTATTCCAGGTGGCGTTTTGTATATAGCGCTGAAGCCGTTCGGGGCTTTTCCAGAGACAGCTGCGTTTTCTACTGCTTCAGGGGGATTAGACTTAAACTGTATCTCTGGATTTCTTTCAGGAGTAAATCCAAGCCCGGCTATCGAACTCGTAGCATCCCGTGATTTTTCCGAGCCGAGTCCGCACAAGCTGGAATAGACAATACTACTGGGGACTCTGAGTCCTTCTCGCATGAGTCCAGACCTGTCCATACTCAGAGCTGCAAGACTGTCAATGCGATGTGCTGTAGTCGCATCCACCTTTACAGAACAAGAAGTATGTTACTTTCAAATTTCGCTAACATGACCATCGCTCAAGCTACAGATACATCAGCATTCTGGAAGAGAAACAATACCAGTGCAAACGCACTGTTCGTCGTGAAAACGTACAGAGGCTGATCGCGCTGGAAAACGGGAGAACAGCAACCTACCAAGCAATATATATCAGAACAAACATCAATACAAATCTCTACGCATCCAAAATTCATCAGCTAGAAACAAAGGCATGAGGACCCATAGCCCAAGCAGCCACAAGTGGCCCAGAGACGATGCTTGGTGGCACTGTTCTCATGCACCAAACAGCTCGTCAGCTCTAGCCCTGCCAGTGCAAGAGGATGTGGGCTGGGGCATGGAGAGCAGGAAGAGAAGTACGGAGAGCCTCTCCCTCCTCCTCCTCCAGGACCTCTCCATCTGCCACAGCTCTGCTCCGGGGCTCGCCACCACCACACGATTCATGGGGCAAGGCTTCTGAGGATGCAGCATGAAGAAAGGTCTCCTGTCACATTTCTTCCCCTCTCGCTGCTCCCCGCATACACTCCAAGGAGAAAACCACCAACTTTGCTGAAACATTGATGCACTTAACGCTTATATGAACTGGTTTTGTTACACATGCCAGTATGATGCATGACATTATCCATAAGACAGGTAAAGAGTACGACGTCACACAACACCACGCACCACAAAGGCAGCGTCAAAAGATTAACGAGATAAGTAAAAAAGCCCCATTCCACTGTTTCACAGAAACAATTTGCATGTGGCCCAAGCCCAGCTAGAGCTGCAACAGAAAGGTGTTTTAATCATTTTTCTCCAAATGGATCATGTAATAACATCCCAGGGTAAGGGTGGGGAGGACAAGCACGGATTCAGCTGCAGCGTGAAGCTATTAACTTCTTACCACACTGTGATTCAGGTGATTTTCTTCCCTCAACTCCAGTCTGCTTTTCGGTGCATCGCCATCATTAACGGGAATTTTCCTGTTAAAAAACAGAAGCTTACTATCTGAAAACATCCTGTGCATCTCAGATCAGTACAGGATTTTATCACCTCCATATTTTGACTCCCCTAGAAAAGTCCCATGCGATACCATATTTATCCTTCTGCGTACCCAGGCACAGTGACTACTTTAGAAAGCAAGGACCATTTGAAAACAAGCATAAAAGGTTTTGACACCAAGAACACACCGAACACATCTCTTGCAACACAAGTGATTTTTGCCAAGGTTTTCTCTTTTGCCCCTTGCCCTTTTCTTTTTACAAGGAGAGAATATCGCATTTTAAACATACCCTGTTCATGTACCATCCATTGATGCTGCTGAGGAGAAAATTAAAACACACACAGTAATATCATACAAACATCAGCCGTTCCATGCTTAAGAGGGAGCTGCGCATCTGTGCCACACCAGTGTTGCAGCACTGGGACTTGTTATTACAGAAAGCACTGATAAAGAGTACAACTTAGTGCCAAATTTCAAATCCCAGGCATAAAAATCACTGACGTGCAGCAGAAGGAAAGTTTCGCACTACCCAAAAGAACCCCTTTCAATCAAAGTGTTTAAAGGTGTATTATCACCTTAAAGCAGAAATGCAATTTTAATATATTTGGTTTTAGAAGATTCACCTTTCCCGCAAGCAGCGAGTAAAATTATTATCCCTAAATAACTGGGAGAAAAGCGGGGAGGGAGGGCGCAAAAGCAAAGTGAGACATTTGGCCATTTTGCTTCAGCTTATGTTTGCAAAGAGTATTCCCTGCAAAGACCAAAAACTTTCCCCAGCTTCTCGGAGGCTTTTCACACAACAGTGAGAACACGGGCTCAAAGAGAAGACAGAAAGACACTAAAACCACACAAAACTGGCACAGAGAACCACAGGCATACCTGCAGCTTCTGTTCAGTGCCGTTTTGCTTTTTAAAAAGTTGGGGGTTAAGGGAAGAGGACACCAGCCACTGCCTGCGTCACTCCATTGAAAATTCTATTAAAGACTGTAATTTTAATCATTGAAAGAATGATATTCAGCAGAAAAAAAGGTCGGGAGGAAGAGACATTCACTTGTGGGAGACAAGAAAGCCCATTGTTCCTATTTCACAGGACAAGCTGTTGGTCCAAAGGCAGGGAACACCAAGTCGCAGGCAGAAACCCCTCTGCCATAGTGAGTCACCGCAAGAACACGTGCACTATTTGGTTTAATTCCCCTTCACAAATACGAAATAATAAATTAATTGTAAAAGTGCGTTTAAAGGCTGCTTTGGGGAGTAATCTCTTTAAAGGGCGTCCCCGCTTCACTGACCCAGGTTGCCTGTTAAATAGTAAATCAGCAGCTGCTCTACCGCTCTCAGGCACGTCTTGTTTCTCCCCCCCTGCCCTTCCTCCAAGCTGGGCTGATCTCGATGCAAGGCAGCAGCGAACTGCTCCAGCATTAGGGAAGCGAGCAAACTCCGAGACCTCACGCTGCAGAATTACAGTGTGGTTTAACTTGCCAGAAGCTTAAATATTTACCTGTCTTCATTAATTCCACACATGCGGACCCTTTCATTGCTCATCCAGCTATGAACGTTGCCATACAGGGGAGTTGCAGAAAGCATGACGTCTTCTTAAAAATCACCGCTTTTCTTCACGGTTTTATATTCTATTAAAAAAAAAGTATAAAGAAAAGGAAAAAAAAAAAGTTGAGCAGATTTGTCTACGAGGAAGTGCAAACATCACGGCGGAGCAGCCAGCCTCCCTCCGGGTAATTAATAATGAATGCAGGATTGGTGCGGGGAGTGAGCTGCCTACGTTAACCGCTAAGGGAGATACCCTGCAATAAAGGAGCAAATTGAGGGCATTTATAGGTCAGAGGAGATGGATCTTTTCCCCAGCGCACATCTAGAAAATTAAGAATCATTCCAGGCTATCGACAAATAAAAGTTTCTCCACTGCATTTCATTTCCACAAGAAATGACTCAGCCGGCCAAGTACACACCAGTCCCCAGACCTTCAGCTCACATAGGCTGAACCAAGGAGGGAGACCCCACGGGGCAAGGGAACATGCGAAACTACCCACAGGCACTCACAAAAGCCCTGCATTAGGAGTACACAGGAGCAGGAGTGCATCACAGGAACAGCCACATACCGTGCGTATTCGCTACGCTGATTGCTGATAAAGCTTTCACACGAGGACTTAAAACTGAAGAGACGCTGCTACAGAAGGGATCTAAATAAAAACCTCTCCTTTAGCGTCTGCACATGACTAACTTGGAAAAAGGGGTTAAAAATAGTAAGTGGGTTGGCGAGCTCCCCACCCCTTGATTTGATTAAGCACCGAGCCCTGGTGGCTTCT